CCATAGGGAACACCATACAAGTATCATGTATGCCCTTTGGCTGTACACGATAGCACCAGAAAGCACATGATTCCATTTCCTTGACGACTTTTCTATTGTGAATTGTGAAGTAATATAACACTAAAATGGTGTACCATCTGTCATTTGATGCAGGTGTTTCACATATCCTTGTGCATAATGTGTAGTTTTATAAATTTACACTTTTCAGTAGTAAAGGATTTAGTCATTCCTTTGTCACCAACCTTGCTACAATAACGGTATTCTAATACATATGTCTATCTGTAGAATTATACATCAAGCAGTCTTTAAAGTTAAATCTTGTCACCCTTGTATTGAAGTATTTATTTACCTACACTTATCAGTATAAAACTTCAAATTCATTCCCAACTTAAAAACCACAAAAGTATACAAGAAAGTTTTCAATCAACTTGAAAATTGATAAAATCAAATCAACAAGAAGTCCAAGGGCCTAAATGGTAATCTGAGTTCTATAAATGCTGCTGTTGTAATTGTAACACATCTGTCATAGAACTAATCAAAATAAAATCATTTGATTTGCACTGTACATGTAATGCAATTTATATAAACTACTGAATAACATTACTTGCAATCCCATGTTTACATTATAAGAAACCAACATTAAATGGAACAGGGACCGTTACATATATGTCCCCCAAACACCCTGCAGTGTCGCTGGACATAGCTTTAAATTAAGGCTGATAAGAAATGTGATAAAAAACAAACAATATTTGAATTCATCGCATTAGTCATCTGTGTAGGGCAGTACATTTGTCCAATAACGAAAAGTATATATTGTTCTGTTCGTAGTGTCAGACAACACCTATGTACAGATTTTCATAAAAATCAAGCTAAATGTAAATTTCAACTGATCAGAAACTCCCTTAGGGGCCATTTTGTTAAATCAGAAAATGGACTCCATCATTGTTAACAATGTAAGACAATACCTATACACCAATTTTGTTGAACATCGACATCTAAATTTCAACAAATTAGAAGTTGCTATGAAGCAACCATTTTGTCCGATCAGAAATAATGTCACCATTATATTTCTGACTCAAAATAATCCATAAACATTCCTAATTTCATTGAAATCAGACCAATTTTAACTAATCTGATACCATGCTATGTTGCAGCCATCTTGTCCAATCAGAAAACAAATGTCACCAATGTTTCAGATGTAAAACCACACCTACATACCAATTTTTATGGAAATTGGATAATATCTCAATTTCCCCTCAGCCAATCAGAAGCCTCTACATTGCAGCCATCTTGGCCAATCAGAGAGCAAACATCTTTTGCTCCATATGGCACAAGGAGCTACAAAGCTTGAGGGGTAGGGGGTGTGTGGGTGGGAAGAACAATGATAAAGGTGACATAAAACTTTCCCATTTATTCTTCATCAACCTGCATCTTTTGTCAACATGATCACTGAAATCTTTGATAATGAAAACAAAGTAAGCTGGGGCTTGTTCAGATGTACTCTAACTCCTTCACCTTTTTATTCTGATTTAAATATATTAAGTGTTTAATCTATGATGAGGTTCATAAGAAATCTTGTACACAAAATGTTTATTTCAAAAGAGTTTCAAGAGTGACCTTTGACCTTTAACTTTGACTGATTATTATTTAAATCTAATCAAGTATAGACCTACATACATGAGGAGTGAGGCTATGGAGTGAACATGAATTAAAACTGTCGAGGGAATCATAAGAAATCTTGTACACAATGTTTTCATTCAAGAAATGGTCAAGGGTGACCTTTGAGCTTTTACCTTGACCCCTAATAACTTGAATCAAATCAGTTGTAGACTTTGACAAGGTGATGCTATGTTTTGAATAAGAATCAAAGTTGTCCAGTGTATCATGAGTTAACCTGTACACCTGTTTATTTCAAAAGAAGAAATGTTGACCTTTGACCTTTAACCTTAACTGATGACCATCAGATGTAGACCTTTGTGAGGTAATGCTATGATGTGGATACAAACGAAATCTGTTCAAGGGTTCATGAGATATTTTGTACACAACTTAAATTTATCACACATGCACAGAGACAAAGCTATTACTATACACCCCTACTCCCTTTATAAAAAAACCCTAAAGTGTTGAAACAGCTGCGACATGAAAACAACACATGTTTAGGAAGGAGAAATGTTAAAGGAAATGAAAACTGTCCTTGTTGGTTGTGTTCAGCTGATTTCTAACTTTATATAGTATATAAAGAAATTGAATACAATACTATGAGCTTCATACTGAGAAACGCTTTTAATGGAAGAAGAAATATCAAGGTCACCTCCGAGTCCTGGTTTGGACAATACTGTGTACCACTTTTTAATACTGGAGTGAAATAACAGAGGCAATCTTTCAGTCACTCACTGTGCACCATTTGTAGGCCCCAATGTTCGTCACAATAAATTAAAGTCTGGCATTGTTTTATTAGCATCATCTGAAATAAACCTAAAATGACATGAATAGAGGACATGTCATCCTTACATTATTAATGCAGTGTCGACCAGCAATATCATTAAGCATGTTCCTGGGTTTTTTAGCAGCTCAAGATGAAACAACTGTTCCTTCACTGCTTCAGTAAGAACAAATACAGTCAAACCACAAATTTCACTTAAGGCAGCAGAGGATTGTGGCTTTATAAACAGGTAGCTTCTAATCAAAGGGTATGAATTTTAGGATTTAGGAAGGTTCAGTTTGAAGAAGTGAACCAAATTGACCCGTGGACTCCGATATGTATATGGACGTGGATATATAATTGAACCAATTATGTTCTGTACATGACATTAATCATTCTATTAGCTTTCAGCATTTACACTGCACATGTCCAACTGAATGCAGAAAAAGACTTAATCAAATAACAATATTTCGGTCAAGTGAAGAAAGCAAGATCCGTATATAACACCTGACTTAACTGTAAATAATCTGAGTGCATTACCCTATGATCTCACAACTAACATTACATCCTGTCGGACCTAGCCCGGGTCGGATGGTTGACTAGTTTGAAAGTGTTTTCAACCAATATTTGATGAATAGGAGTTTTGTTGATCAGTACTACAAATCATTTTCTAAATCAACACTCCATTGATGTTTCCATTTTGTATGTGTTATAAATAACATTTCACACAAATTAAATGCAAAACAAAACTGCGTCTTTCTAAGTCTGCTGCACTAGGACTTATTTTCACTTTGTTTCTAGACATTTCTAGCTTCCGATCGATTGATGGGTTCGTTTGAAAATGGTTTCACTTAGTCATTGAAGATAGCTATATATACTGCTCATTATTATCCTCTCGATCAAGGTAGGTATACAGCCTGTATGTGACAAGAACACATGATTTTAAAAAGCTTACAACTGTCACCACAAGTATTGATTTCAACGTCCAGGGGTCATAACTTGGGTCTTGATTAATCAGGTAAGCCCAGTTTTCATAAGTCAGTATACAAATATGTATATATATCACCATTTTGTTCCCTTTCAAGAGATGGTCGACTTTGAGAAGGATAAGTTTGGGGAAGTTGAAGTGCATTAAACTGGGTTTTGAGCCTCATTTAAGGCCTCATATTTTTTAAAGAACCTTTCTGGGGTTTGACTCTGACTTGATATCTTCCATAGTGATCACATGACTCTATTTTCAACTAAGAAGAGATGCTGCCAAATCCATGAGAGGTAACTGGCACACAATGTCAATAAGGGAAAAAAAGAGGACAAAATTGTAGTTATTGTTGATAAATTCCAAAGGCTCTTATTGAATTCTGCCTACCTGATTTAAAGAATTGACTAAATTTAGGATCTGATCTTTCTAAACAACTATAAAGGAATCATGTTTTCTCCAGGTAGAAATATTATAAAACTATGACAAATGTTCATCAAAATCATAAAGAATCACAGAAGTAGTAATCGAAGTAAAAAAAAAAAAGAAGTGAAACCATTAACTTTAAGTCTATGATATCATTTTGCTGCCTGTTTCTATGGCAACAGCATAAATCAGACATTTCAAAGTCAACAACCATACCTAACAACGTAATGTGAGAAACATTACATATCAAAACAATAACTACATAGGGTATAATCATGTGCATACTTACTTCCTTCATTATCAAAGAATTGCTTTATCTTGCTTTTATGTATGAATCAGTCAGTACACTTCTCCTCAACAAATCTTCTATACTTAGAGTAAAGGACGTCTTTAAGTATGTCAAATAGGGACTATCCAAAGAAATTATTCAAATCAAACAGTGCCGGGATAGTAACTTACATTATTTTTCTAGCATTCACCATGCTTTGATTTTGTTCATTTCAGGAGTCCTCTAGGTGGATACAAATTTTATCAGAATAGCCCTTATATAATTACCAGTGTGGTAATACTTTCTATACTTAGGCCCAATTATAAATCATGTCCACATCTATTTCAGTCAGCAGCAAGTACTATTGTGTAAGTATCTTCTACTGGTGGGAATATATAGCTAGTGGATACCTGAAGTTATTACAAACACATGCTGTGTAAGTAATAACAGTGTAACAATATATATATCCCCTTTCATAGTTTTGACATTAATTGCGTATCTCTGTTTTAAAACTGAAAAATATCCCAGTGGGTATAGGGATACAAGACCTGAAAAATGCCATCTATCGTCACGAATTAACACAAGATCTCACAAATGCTTCATTTTTGCCAAAGTCTATGTTAAAATAAAAGTGCAGGTCCACTTCAAGCTAGTTTTTTCTTTATAAAGAATCCTTAAGAAATTAATAAAATAAAAATACTGGAAATGTTGTAAATCATGATAAAGAAGTATGTGTTTTTTGTACCACAATATGATACATTATTTTTGTGTACTACAGTATACCGGTATATCCTTGCACTTCTAATAATTACTTACTTTCATCCACTACATTACAAATCTTGTGTTTAATTCATCAATACCAGAAATAGTCTTGTATTAATCTCCATCTGTATAAATAAAACACTTACTCTTCTTCCTTGTAGTGATCTGAGAAAAGTCCTGCTTTCTGGTATTTTTTCTTTGGCAATTGGGAACATTCCTTTTTCTTCCCTGCAGCCCCGTCCATCGGTGTCTCCGAATCAGATATATTTCTGTAGTATAAATATTGACATAAAAACAACAGTTAAATTAAAGTATTTGTGAAACAAAACATATACCAAAATCTGAACTAACAAATAAACAGATATCTAAACTTGAACTTATTTTTTATTATTCTTAATATCTCGTTTGTAAGTTCCCATTAATTTGCAGTATCTGTTGTAAGAGTCTGAGATGTACACAAAGAAGTGTCAGCATATTTATATGAACTTTTCAGCATCCAATAATAGGCCAAATTCCAAGTAATGTCATTGAATATCTATAAAGGAAAAATTTCTATTCTCTCAAAATTTTGGTTCCCAATTGGTCAATCCTCCTCCCCTCAAAAATGTCAAGTATAACAGATTGATAACATTGCTGTTACTTTTCACAAAACTTTCTTACCCAGTATCTGCTTTTCTAAAACCACGTTTTTTCCCCTTTCTCCTTGGTTCAGTTAAGTTGTCTGCTGCACTCTCTTGAAGCTGATGTTTTGGGGAAGGCAGAGGTTCATACTCTGAGCTCACAGACCTTATCACAGAATCAATTGTAGCCTCTACTGTGTCCACAGACTTGCATTCAGCAACTTTGTTGTCCTGAGAATTACCACTATCTACCTTCTTATCTGAAGGAGAGACAACACTACTATCCTTTAACCGAGAATGAGATTTTTTTCTGTGTATAATTTTCGTAAAACGTCCACGCCTCTTTTGCACATTTGTAGTACCTGTATCATTCTTACTACTACTGTCAGTCAGATTTTTGGTTCTTGGTCTTCCAACTTTACCCACTATACGCCTGCCTTTTTGAAGCAAAATTTTCTTTATTCTTCCTGCCACAGAAGAATTGGAAGAAAATTTTGCAGTGGCAGCTGCATTGCTGGTATTGGGACTAGAATTAGATTCTACACGAGCATATTTTGGTTTGCGACCTCTGCGTTTTGGTTGCTGGACTGTAGCTTGTAGCTGACTACATTGGGTACATGATGAATCCTTCACTTTGTCAGATTCTAAATTAACATTCTCTATGTAATGCAAATTTGAGTGATCTTGCCCATGATATTCATTTGAACTTTGTTCAGAACTGTTTTTTGGTTCAACACAGCTTTGCTCATTCACATGACTGGTAGAGTCTAAAGTACAGATCTCTGTATTCACACTGGTAGTATTTAGCTGCATTTCATTAATAGATGAGTTTGTAGAGTTGGCAAGTTTCTGAGCTTCAATAAATGCCTTGGGCTTTCTTCCACGCTTTGCAGCAGGCACTACACCTTGCTTGGCAGGCACGGTTTGATGTTCTGGTATTTTCTTTTGACAAGCATCTGTAAAATGTACAAATAAAGTGTATAACTGTAGTAAAAACAAAAGTTGCTTTCCAATAACATCATCAAATATTAGATAATAGCTTGATAATCTATTATTGCTCTTAACTTTATAAGTAGGTGATTTTACTTGAGTGTTACAAGCCTTATGGGCAAGACACGTATGTATTATGAGTTTAATAAATACCATATTACACTGATACATGTGCAAGTTTCTATTCATTAAATAGCATTCCTGAAAGATAAGTGGATACTCTCAAATTAATTTCCTTGTATGTGCTGTACATTTTTCAATATTAAGACAATCATGTCAAGTCACCAAGATGTGACTTTAAATGTTATTACTTGTGACCAAGCGTCTAATGAAATTTATGTCATGGATGTAAGACATGACACAACAGGCCAGTTATGTAATGGAAATATATTCTGTAATTATATTCTAAAGAGGGTTCCTTCATATACGATGTCAGCTTATTACTACTGACAGGTAAGATCTAGGACATCAACGTTACTTATAACTTGTGTTTAAAGGTAATTCTGATGTCAATTCACAAATATATGAAACTGAATTTGATTTTAAATCTGTTATGCGAATATGGAATACATATAACTAATACAACACCTGTTGAACATAGCACTGGAGGCAGTGGTGTTTTCCTCGGTCTACCTGGTTTTCTCTTTTCAGGAGGTTTTTGGGGATTAGGTGTCTCTGCATCAACCACTTGCTTTTGAATGAAGGTTTGATGCTGCATGACAGTACTGGTCTGAGATGCAGAGAACAACTTGTGTCGCTTCTTTGGAGGTAAACACTGCTGACTGTTGATGTTAATATCTGTAGGAGATGGAAGTTTGTCATCCAGAGAGAAACTTTTCTTCCTTACACTTTTCAGTTTTTCTTTTGCCAGCCACTTTTCGATGAATTCAAATTCTTTTCTGCTTTTCAACTTTTTAGGCTTTTCACGTTCCAATTCCACAAGTCCTCCCAGTAACCTTTGGTCTTTTTTCTTGGGTTTTACATTAATTTTGGTGAGTTTGAATATACTAGGTAATGGAACTTCCCCGGGTTTCACACGGATGAAAGTCTCCTCACGGTCAGATATAGCTAAACAGTGAAAATTGTTCACCACATACTCCAAGTCTGACAAAAACATTGGGTCAACAATATTTTTGTGTTTGGACTTGAAGAAAAGGATTTTTTTCCTTTTTTGTTTTGCTTGGAATCGGATTTTCCTCAAGTAATCTCTACATGGGGATGTCGGTCCACTTTGCACACTGCCGCTGGTATTTGAATCCAGTGAACTCCGTGAAGTAAACATTTGACTGCTTTTGTCTACAAACCCAAGAGCTGTCTTTGCGCTGGCAAGTTTGAATTTTGATCCTAAAGATGAGAACCTACTGCTGAAATCAGTTGTATTGGAAACAACAGGCTTGTGCTTTTTTCTTCCTCGCTTTTTGTGCTTTCGCATCATCACATGGAGTTTTGGTTTGCGAATTTTTGGAACTATCTTTGGAGATCTATTTGGTATCGGCGACAATGACATAGGTGCTAGTGTTGGCTCTATGGTTTCTAAAACATCTTCAATCTTTTCCTGAATTTCATGATCCATCTGTGGTGAGAACTGTGACTTTATTGAGTCTTGCACACTTTGAATAAGTGTATCAAATTCATAGTCATCCCCCTTTCCTGATGCTAATTTCACACTACCCGATGTTTTTACATTTTTGTCTAAATCAAGTAACGGACGTTTCCGAGGTCTACCTCTTGGCCGCTTCACTGACTCACTTGAGGACGACTTTGCTGGTGAAATGTCTAAAAGTTTTGGAGGGGACATGTCTGATAACTTTGAAGGTGACACAGCAGAAATATCTGATAATTTGCTGGGTGAAAAGTCTGAGAGTTTTGATGGTGAGATATCGGACAAGTCAAGCTCTAATGCTGCATCGGAGAGTGGTAGAACTTCAGGTATATCTAATTCAGGTAGTTTTAGCCAATCATGAGGAACAGAATTCGGGTTAGATACACTTGAAGATGTATTTGTAGCTGCCACTGCATGATGATAATGATTTTGAACTTCTGTAGAATTAACATTTAACACGTTGGTCTTCAATGGATTTTTCTTTATGTTCTTTGAGCCCTTAGGCCGACCTGGACTTCGCTTTTCAATTTGTATGCCCTTAGGTTTTGGTGGCCTTCCTGGGCCCCGTTTAACTTTCACTATAGGCCTTCCTGTGCCTGGTGGTCGTCCAGGACCTCGTTTCTTGACAGCTGTACTTGTCACATGCAAATTTTTAGACAAGGGTGGTCTGCCAGGTGGTCTACCTGTACCTGGAGGCCTGCCTGGACCCCGTTTCTTTTTAATCTCATTTTTCGCAGGTATCGTCTCTTTGCTTGAACTTTTCTTTAATCTCTTTTTCATTATTTTTGTTGGATTATCTAACTTAATCTTTTTCCTTGCAGACAGACCAGGATTCTCTGGTGATACATCCAAATTAGTCATATCATACACAGATGCTGCAGAACTAAGCCTTCCATCAAAGTCTGGAATCTGTGATGAAGGACTAGAATTCTCTATCCGAGTAGGCATCTGACCAGTTTTTAACAGGTTACTGCTTTTGTGTTTCCTTAAAAATTCATGTTTCTTAGGAAGTCTACCAACCCTTTGCTTTTTCTTGCCAGGTGATGGTGACGATGAAGAATGACTGGGACTATAGGTACTGAAAACATGGACATCACTGAATACATGAGTGTCACTTGTTTCACTGTCACAACCACTAGTGTCCATTACCTTTGACGTATCAGACATCTGGTGCACTCGCAACGGTGACAAGGATTTATGGTTCATGGTAACACCTAGCGTATTTCCAATATTTGGGGATTTCGATTGTAATGATGAGTTAACACTCTCACTTCTATGTAATGATAATGAGTCAGTTCCACAAGATAAATTTTTGGAGGACTGAACTTCAGATATGGTAGATGATGCAGATGACATACCCGTGGACATTATCACTGATGTAGGAATACACAATGGCTCCTGTAGCACATGCTGATTATTATGTGAACCAGTGTCTGACAATGTTCCTGAATTAGGTGATTCATTCCCTACTGGTGATCCGGCGATTGACTGATCATGAATACCACTATCTGGCGACACATTTGATGCCATGTTATCCAGTCTTAACAAGTTATCACTGACATCAGAAGCACAAGGTCTAGATCCCACTAACTGAGATTCATAATCATCCATATTGCACCTGGTTTCCTTGTCCTCAGACTCACAACAGTTTGTTTTGTTGTCAATGTCATGAGAAGGCACAACTTGAGTTCGGTCATTGTTTGCTGATGATTGGGACTTATTTTTTGGGGGTCGACCTGTTCGGGCAGGTTTTACTCTTTTTTTAATTGGCTTTGTTGATATTTCACATTTACTGCTGATATTACTTGTTTCACTGGTGGGGAAACCTCCTAAGGCTGTCATTCTTTCAAATATGTTATCATGTTGTTTGTCTAAGCAATCCCTTTCAGAGGAACTACCAGTACTATCCATCTCCTGTACACTTGAATTTTTCATTTCTGGTGTCATATTACTTCTATTTTCACTATTTTGAGAATCCTGATCATAGGTGCTTGTGTTACCATTTCCTGTTGTTTCACTTTTGTCACAACTTTTTATTTTGTCTTCTTCAGAATCATCCATATTTCTTTTATCTATTGGCGTAGGTGCTCTATTGTGTTTTTCACTCTCCTTAGCAGCCATTTGCTCAGTCAGAGTTTTCTTTAACCGAGTAAAATCAGCTGTGCCACACTTTGATGCTTTCTTATTCAAATTTTTTGTGCTTGGTTTTTTACTTTGTTCCGTCACCAAGGATGGTTTTCCTTTGGTAGCTTTGCCACTTGGATTCAATTTACTACCATTATCCACTTCCTTAGACTGACCTACAGTAGCAACCAGATGGTGGTCATAGCTATTTATCTTCTTTTTCACTCCGATATTGGTGTTCCTGTCGAGAGTTGACTTGGATCCGACTTTATCTAACTGCTTTCCTGGATCCTTCTTGTGGAAAACATCATCATTGTCTGTTGTTCCATTTGCAGATAAGATTGAAGGCTTTGGACACCTATTTTTCCTGACATACTGCACATTGGCAGTTCTTGAGGCTTGCTGAAAATGAAAATAGAAACATGAGAAAACTAACTATCAAAATTTTGTGTAAATGAACATGTAGTGTCTAATACTCTAAATTGCTACCATCCATGATTTCTATAGCATTTGCCATTTCTGTCATAAGTGAAACATCATAAATTATTACCAACCATTAAATATTTAATACACTCTCTTGAAATTCATATATATTTCTATATATATTCTGCCAAATAATAAGATAGTGATAACTCATGAACCTACATACCTCAGTATCCTGACTGTACAACTCTGAATCCTCCTCAGAACTATCACTTAGTTCTGTGGATAGGATGTTGTCCTCGTCTTCATCTGCTGATGGAGAGGCTTGTGATGTTGAACTTTTCCTACGAGCTGAAATCTTGAGTTTTAATTGTCCCCTTGTATAGTTTGTTGCTTGAATTGAGAATTCTTTATCTGACGAACTGTATTCACTATCAGATGATCCTGATGTTGAATCAGTACTACTAGAACTGGAGATGGAATCAAGGGTGTGGTTGGTATCCTCCTTGGAAGTTCGACCCGCACAGGCTCCTGGCCCTGCCCCACTCATGTCTTCCCCACACAACCCCAGGCCAAAGCCTTCGTCTTAGTCATATGGTTGACCGACCAGACCCTCTCTATTACAGTAAAGGACAACCTGCAACAGAAAATTCAGAACTTAGAGGGGTGATTAAAGGGAGTTAATCCAAGCCATGATGTTCTAAACTGAAATGGATCTGTCCATGGAAGTACTTGTGTGCACGAGTCAGTTATTGTATTAACCATATTAACATTCCAATGCCCTGTAAGATCTGAAAACCATTTCAAGAATATAGTTATTTGCATGTGAATAATTCCACAACTAGACATACAAGAAACATGCCAAGCCAAAACTCAAGTAAAATTAAGGTTTATCCAGGTATGTTATTAAAACTTACACAGATCAAATATGTCAGCTTGCTAGCAGACTAAAAATGATTGAAACTATCTTAAACAATAAAAGTGAACTTTGATTTTACTATATCAGCTTTGTAAGACAGACAAATAATTCAAATGCACCTAGCATATCCTTTTCTTTAATAGTTAAAAGAACAAGAAAATATTCAGTCAATTAGTATTTGAAAGTAATGATATTATTCTGAATTATACATGGACTTATAACGTGATCCAATGTAAATTATACATATAATATAAAATTACATTTCTACACAACATTTTATATGGTTGAAGTGCATGGTTTGGTACAGAAGAGCATTACTCATAATCATGGGAAATCTACACTGCAGTGTTGGAAAGCAGTAAAATCTTATGGCAAACACAGTAAAAACTACCAATTGTGTTTGTTTCGAGTAAGAAGAAACAAATGTTCATCTTATATCTATATATAATCATATATCTGAAGAAGCATCACTTGTTAAAAAGAATGGGTTTATGTTTGGATGTGACAAAAGAACCTTCTCTGTAGTAATCTGGGTCAGTACATAAATGGAACCCAGTTTACATTTTTGCGGTATGTCAAGTACGATTTCGTTTCAATATATAGTAAATCATGGATTCACTTTTAACTAATGTAAACCCGAGTTCATAAATTCATCAATCTTCATTACATCTCAATAAATATCTCGGCAGACACAACGTAAATATGATTGAGTGTGTACACACTGTTGATTCACACATGCAGGTAAATCACACTAGACTTGTTTACAACACATGTAGAGATACCACAGTTCCGCATTACATTACACGCTTGCGTTAATCAGTGTACGTATGTAAGCAACCGAGGGCTGCTATATCTAACACAACGTGTGACGTTATTGCACAGAATCACACCTTTCTGCAATGGTTCACTTCAAAATCAATCACAGAAAAGAAGCCAAAGAAATTCACACACGCATCTCACCGTCTTACCCGCCAAAACCACGAGACGTTCCAACAATGAAAGACATTTATCGACGTTAAGTTCGTGTATATATATCGTGGAGATCCATATTGTTCTTACCTGTTAAGTATACAAGGTGATTAAAACGAGAAATGGAATAATCACAGATTGCCAATTCAAAACACAATCCTCTACGCCATAATCTATTATGACCAATATGGCGTTTGTGGTCGAGACGCGTAGGGGCGTATCGTTCCTCGTTTCCGAGATTGAAAAAAATATATAAAATTTTGCATAGATTACAGCCATTTTGCACTTATTTCTTCATAATACATACCTTCGTAATATTTATAAAATAATGTCGAGTTTGCTTTATTCAAACTGAAGTAGGCCTACTTTATTTAGTGTGAAGGTCGTTTTAGAAACTGTAGCATGTCCGCCCAGAAAATTTCGAGTTGTTTTGGTGCAATTCATATGCAAATGACTTGACGCGTAAATACGTAGCAGTTACTTTAGTGTCAGTACATTTTGTTAGGTTTTCAATAAACAAACATGTACTCCATGAATGCGTTTATTTCATACTGAGTACTTAATCATCTATTATCGAATACAACGACGAAGGACAGGTGCTCGTAAAATTTCCCACAATGCACTCAATGCAAATGTCAGCTTACAGCTAGAAACGGGACGATGTTTGAGATCACATGCACAAGGGACATTCCTAGTGTCTAGGTAGCTACTAGATGAATATTAGTGTTAGAGTTGTGATGGCTTCCATGCTCTCTCGAGGACCTGTTTACTCGTAAGTGACATATTCAAACATCGAAGAAGTTGGGAATTGTTGTCGCTATAGTACACTATACTGGATATTTACTGCGTCGTAAGTGATTAGCAGGTCGGGGTATTCTCTCGACAATCCTTGAGAAGAAGGCATTTTGGATAGTTTCATTCCATCTACAGACTTAAATTATCGGTCCCTGATTTAAGTATGTATTTCAACAACAAAAGAGCGCCTCAGCACCAAACCTCATTGCGCATGCGGTGAGGTGAATTCGAATTCTATGTCGTTCATGGACTCGGACCAATAGCCCGTACCTGGTCTGAAAGTAAAGGGCCTGTTTCCAGTAATGTTAATTCTCCATAGGAGCCTGCCCCCGTATAATTTCTTATCTAGCTCAACTACTGTTTTTTCTTTTCCGAAAAATAAGTTTACACCTTTCCGACACCCAGATTTCATAATTTCAGTGAAAATGTATTTTTATAAAGTTGTCAATTTCAGCATCAAAGACATAAGTTCGTAAATAGAAGAAGGTTATCTCGAAATTGTAATTCGCAACATAGTATAAATTTCTTTTGATAAATATTTCCAAAACATCGTGTTTATTCATAAAACATAAAAAAAGTATATTCTCGGATGAAAATGCACTTGCAGAGACACAATTATGAAGAAAAATGCCATAAATTTGCAATTTTCTCCCGTTATATAGTTTTGGATGCAAATTTCCATCAGAAAATCGGATAGAGCTTTACTTGTTTCATATGTGTACCAAAAATCAGCTAATTCCATGTGGTGGAACGTTCTCATAAATTGTAAATTGAAAGAAAAGGGGAAATGAGTAACAACCTTGTCTGAAACCCTATTATATAGCTTATTATATACAAACTTTTATATTGAATATCAGAGCGGATATTTTCATGACAGTTTTATGATGTGTAACGACTAAATAAATAGTATCGATATAAAGATTTACACTGAGGACACCCTGATACATGAATACTGTTCTATCTCAAGCTGTCCTCTTCTGAATTTTCTGATCGTGTGGCCTTGTACATTTATCCGTATCTTCTTGTCTTTGTCTATACGTTTACGAAATCATTCACTCGACGCTAGCTATTCTTGTCTCAATTTCCTTGTTTTATTGTCCCATCTCCAAAGCGTTGTGGCTCTGTCAGGGTTGGGACCCTGACTTGTCTAACTTTCTTTGTGCCTGCCGACCACGCCACATCGAATAGATAGATTATCCATATGAAATACTTCATTTTGTTCTAAGTAATCAATCAATTCTGCGCTTCTTGGAGGTATTGAATGTGATTTATTATATTGTCTTGTTATTTTGTGTAATTAGTTGTTCGTTATTTATAGCATGCCGTCATACCTGAAACCCGGTCAATGTCAACATTCTGACGTCCAAGCAAATCTTGACAGAACTATCACCAAATCGAGGTGGTTGTGGAATCCTATCATGGTCGTCTGAAACACTGGACGTTCTTCCGAACGCAATTGGTGTCTAACAGCTTTATCAATGTCATTGAGGCTTTGCTTCGAACCGTCACAGCCTGTCTGAATGGTATTAGAGGACCGATCTACCAGAGATCTCCAGAGAGAGATGCCAAAGATAGGCTAATGGCTGAACGTATGAAGGACCGTTTGACAACACCGAATGGTTAAGCTCAGAGAGTCAGGATAAATCCGGATCTATCTAGACGGGCAAGGTCCGAGTTTGTCAAGATGGATGCATCTTCCGTACTGTTTCCCCGTCTCGATCTTGATTACTTGAGAACCATTACGTGTGGAACGTATCAGATATCTCTGGCTCCTGGTTACATCGCCGAACATTTAAGTGATGACGGAGACTATGAGGTGTGGCTTTACCAGCACTCCCCAGACCTTCTCCGATGTCAAATACATTCTCGACACAAAAGCCAAACGAAATATAACGTTTGGATACGGTTCACCGTTTCACCCGATGTTGAGGCCCCAATAAAGGACAACTACTGCCAGTGCCCAGTTGGAGAGAGAACGATGGGAATGTGTGCGCACATCTCCAGTATCTTGTACTACCTTGGGTATTACAGGCCGCTGGAAAACCCTCGACCATTACAACCACAGGTAAAGAAATTCCGACAAAACTTGAAATAGTTTTCCATGCGGCAACGGAGTGCATATGTCGAAAGTATGTTTGGGGCTCGATATGAAAGATTCCCGTTACCATGTGACTAACCAAACTTATAAATATAGGTATTATACAATCGCCCGTAGCTATGAACACTCCCGTAAATGCGAAAACCAACCAAAATCATAAGGAACACGTTTTGTTTGTTGTTCTGTCTATTTGTCAGCCAATGTCTTCAACCACGGGGACTTGTGAAGTAGCCATCTTGGATTTTTTTATGAAAAGGTGATTCTCTCAATTTTTTTCATATCTCTGTGCATATTCTCAACACACCGAGCAAATACTTTCGTTTTTTTGTTAATTATCTAAAAAAAGTCTGAAATCGGCAATTCAACCATAGGCTAATTCAACCCAACATTTGAAAATGTTCCACCACTTACATTTTGATGATTTTTCCTCTTATCAATAGCATATTACGTACTATTTAATAGGATAAAATTGGTTTGCATCCAACGCCCATAAAAGGGTGTATTCTCTAAAAAACACAGTTTTTGTGTCTAAAATGTTATCATCGAAAATGGCATTTTTGAGATTGTTTTTTCCATAAAACAGCCAAATGGCGCGATGGAAACATGATTTTTTGTCACAATCATGCCATGAATGTATTCTTTACGGTGACTATCATTTGATTAGATTTTCATTAATATTTTACATAACATGCACATTTTATCAACACTTAGACAGCATCTGAAAGGTACAACTTTGAGGAGCCATAAAAAACAAACCAAGTGACCTAAATCTTTATACTTTATAGATTTGTGACCACAACGGCATGGGCAATGCACCACCAACAGGAAATTTGAATCAGAGAAGGGGCCGTTTTGGAAACCGGCCCTTTAATATCTAAAAGAAAATATCACTCAGTATGAAATAGGCACTGCCTACAAGCGATAGCAAGGTATAAAAACAAATTAAGAGATACAGGGCGAGTATGAAAAACAATGGACCACAATACTGGAAATCGACGAGGGAAAGGGGAATGGCAGGTAGGCCTAGCTGTGATATTAGGGAAATAAAGCAGCTTATGTGCGACGACGAAATGAAAATTACAACTACATGATTTATGCTGTATTATCATGGCATATTGTAGATAATATAATTACTTAGCTTAAATTTATTTTATTGCAAAATATTACAAATTGATAGACCATTAGATATCTAGTTTTGCAACATAAAAACGCTCTTTCCCTATACATTCGGTACATGCCTGGATTATAATTAGTGATTAATGATGGAAAATCTAGATTGATATTTAATGACACTGTTTTATAAGTAGATTTATCTGATTTTCAACTTCATTTAGTCTGCTAAAAGGCAGAAAGACTGACAGCAGACATTAAATAAAAACATTTTATACATTGGAATGTTGTTATTACTAATACCAAAAAGGAATGTCTGAAGTCTCCGCCAACATATTAAGGCTTTTGAAGTAGATTTTAGAATTGACCACGTTTATTAAATATGTCCAATAGTGTCTCGTTCAGATTTACAGAGGTTGCAGAGAGGGCTATCTACTGGCATCGATTAGAAAAAAAAATTGAGTTAGTAGTAAAATTTGATTGAAGTCTCTAGTTTTTAGTGATTTCTGGAGGCAATGTTTGTTGAACCAGTCATTAAGGAGGTGCTTATAAGTTAAACCAGCCATCTTCATTAAGATAAGACAGTTCTCTTCACCTTTTTCTTTTCCATAAGCTTACGAGAGTTTTCTTGCTGTTAAAAATTCATATAATGCATATGAACTTTACAAAATTTTCATAACACAATGGCCATGGTATAATAGGGCGAGTACAGTTCATGCTCCCCATAATTTTGTAAACATTTCTTCATTGTTGATATTATTCTTGTATATTCTTACCAAATTAAAATATTTTATAAGAACTTATCAAGATTTGTTATTATTTATTTAACTGGTTTACGTCCAATATTTCGACCGTTCAGCGGACGAGTATCAAATTTGTATCTGCGGCAGCTATATCAGGCTTTAGTGAAATATGGTAAATCAGAGATGAACTGATTCAATACGATATCTGCTTAAGGACGTTAATTTCCGTTTTGGATTGGTGATTTTGTGTAATGTACAAGACATTTGGTGGCAAATTCTCCTCAGTGTTAGTAATTTTTGTGGCCAGCATAACAGCACCGGAGAATATTCCGCGCGTGCTATAGATCTATTTGGTTCAGATCCGAAGATTTTGCAAATCCAAAACTCGGGACATTGCTCTACTTAAGAACGTAATAGTCACGTGACTGATGTGGGCTGTCGCATCATCGTGCTGCAAAATGGGCCCATTAAGGCCTCCGACCAAACAGTCCTTGATGTTCGGGTTGCATGAAGAAACCATTCCCGATGTTGCCGAAGCAGTATTAGACGGTCTTCAAGAGGGATGATCAGCCGCTCCGTGATGGGTCGAATGTTGAAGTGGTTGCATTGAGACGTCGCCATAAACGATATACCATCTTTTGGCCACAAAACCATTAATGTACATTTTTGCTAAATTCATGTAAATTAACTAAGACTTTTAGTATGATTTTATTTCGACGTAAAAGTCTGAAAAGATATTTTTCGGTCAAGATAATTTTTTTAATCCGTCAACGGGTCGACAGTACACATTGTGTGCTGTGGTAAATGTATTGCGGGTAATGAAGTTCCAAGACACCGCCGTTTAAGGTGGATCATTTGTGTAGTTTGTTGGTTTTGAATTACCACACTCAATACCATGAAGTGCTCGCTATGAACATATATTCTCAAAAATTATCTTTAAATCGGCGGTACGCTTAGGCACAATTCAGCGGATAACAGAATTTTTTTACAAAGCAAGTTTGTTTTTGGTCATTTTCTTCATTTTCATATTGTCCGATCCCTTCGGTTGAATTTCAAGCTATTTTCCCGGTTCCAAACAAAAATTCTGTTTGTGAATATACAGCTTCCACTGACAAGGGAGAGGTCATTCCACCATCTATTCTTGCCTTTATTGCACTTATTAAAATATGATTCTTGCACACGTTTTCTATGGATTTGTGTTGTGTTTATCATTTGTTAGTTGTTACGTGAAGAATGAAGAACCGCCAGAGATATTTTAAAGATACTTGGAGACCAGCGCCAGATTAAATAAATACTAGGTACCACAACAATGTCACGGGTATAAATACATTTACGATGATACCTAGCTCCAAAACTATGTAGATACACATATTACGATATTGATACCATGCTACTATGATAAGACTTATATAAATACTATTGTACTAGTACCAGAGGCGTATAGACACTAATATTCAGTTAATGATTCATAGTTGTAGACGTCATTGAAAGCGCCTTCTTGTTTATGTTTACGTGTCCTCTTGCTCTAAGAACTACTCCGTCACCTTGTTCTTGTTCTACCTCTACCATGGTCCAACTGGGAACATAGCAATTCGTGATTTAAGCATTACTCATAATGTTAGGCTACGAGAGCTTTTCACGAAGTGTCCTAAATATCGTGAAACCGTGTCCATTATTTAGAATATGAATTTACAAGATACTTACGCATTCCGTTGAAAACTATGCATGAGAATGTGTGAAACGAGAACATTCTGCATTGAATTCACTTTCAGAGTTAGTTCAATCCAATCGGTCTTCCATTCTTAAAGTAATTAGCTGCTAAAAATGTAAAACGAAAACAAAACACAGGTTAGCATTCCTCAATCCTGATGTTAGATTTACATGACGGGTGTGTAGCTGCCTGCAGATAAGGCATTCGATAACTTGATCCTTGTCTGCATACATTATCACATTTCCTGTAAAGTTTGCTTGTTCGATTTATTGATTAATTGATTGATTGATTGACAGGTTTTCCGTCTCCGCGACTGGCTTGCTTGATAGCGAAGGAAACCTTTCCTATACATTATAAAATCTTTCCAAAGAAGAAATGCTGAATAATCATGCTTCAGTATTACCATTCAGATTGGGTGCGGAACTCCCCCATTTTCATTTTTTGTATTGGTTTCTAAACCTTTTAAGAACCTATATAACAGTGTCTTATTGCTGGCTTGACTAGCTGTTCAACCAAACCTTTCTCCAAATATCAAAGAAAGAGAACAGAATCATAGAAATGAGTTTTTCAACAGACTATTGGCATACCTAGTCAGAGACGAAGATCCGATATGGTCATTCTGAAATGGCGGGCTTCTTGAGATTATGTCTTAAGATGATTACAAAAATAATGGAACCAGATACGATAGAGTACTTTATTTAAAATGACAAGAATTCACCTCAAATGGCCATATTCGTTTCATCTTTCTGTACCTTTCTGTTTTTGCTTTCATTTGAGACAGAATTGATCGAAGAGCTTTTCAAAGCAGGTCAGAAAGACCATTGAAAGTCCTTCAGTTTCACTTTCAGATATATTGATGACGTCTTGTCCTTAAATAACAAGTGATTTATTGACCATGTTCGTCGGATATACCCATCATAAGTGGAAATTAAGGACTTGGCATACTGTTCTATATCAACCGCTTATCTTGATCTTTTCTTACGACGAATAAAACAATCAACTTCCCACCAAGTTGTATGATAAGTGTGATGATTACAATTTCTCTTGTGATTTTCCTTATTCTTGATATCAACATTCCTCCATCCCCATCCTATGTTGTTTGTATGTCGCAGTTGATTCAGTATTCAAAGGCTTGTTCCCTGTATCGTGATTTTTGTGCAAGATGTCAACTGAGAGACAAAATCATAACACAAGGGTTTAAAAAGATTCAGTTTGATGGAAATTATACCGAAGATTTATGGCTGTCGTAGTGATCTGATTGAGAAATATGTTGTAATTCTTTGTGCGATATGAAGGTGGATGTGTTTTAAGCTCGTTAGCATGCCTGTTTGTTCAGTTGTTTTATACTTTATTCTCATTTGAGAACATGACATTACTTAATTAGATTGACCAATATTTACATGGCAGGTATCATCGATGAAGCAGAAGATGCTTACTCATACGGGACACATGGTCTTATTCTTCTTGTACTGTTTCAGAAGTCTCCGCGTGAGTCTATTTTTATTAATATTTTGCTGGTTTTATTGATTGAGAGTTCGTATTATGACTATATTCACATATTTATTCTTCTTGTCTTTAAACCATTATAATGCCATTTCTTGTCTTCTCCAATTTGAAGAGTTTATTATAGCGTCAATTATGACATTATATCAATCATGACGTTACTATTTAGTTGCGGCGTGATTGATATAATGCCGCATTACGTCGTAGGTAAGGGAGCGATGCATGCATACTCTAGAATTTTGTTGATGCATGTTTCTTTGTTCTTTTGTGCTTTTGTCATAAATTGAATTAACCTAAACTATCTATGGATATTAGTGACACAAACATTTATCGTTCACTTTATTATCCCCGTCAGTTTTGTAAAGAACTCATTGTACCAGGTGTTTAATAGGATTCAAGTCTATCGTGTCTAGGATACGTCGTTGGTGAAAAACGGCTTCGTCTAGAGAAGGTCAACACTATAGAAGAAGCAACCCGACCAGAAACGAAGAAACAGGTTCGGTCATTTCTTAGACTGGAGAGCTTTTATCGGATATGAATTCCGAATTTCTCAACCTTAGCCATACCATCGAGCGATTTAACCAAGAAAGGACTTCCGATCAATAAGGAGTGGAACTCCAGTCAGGAGAAAGCATTTGTGACACTGAAGAAGATGCATAACACAAGGGTTTAAAAAGATTCAGTTTGATGGAAATTATACCGAAGATTTATGGCTGTCGTAGTGATCTGATTGAGAAATATGTTGTAATTCTTTGTGCGATATGAAGGTGGATGTGTTTTAAGCTCGTTAGCATGCCTGTTTGTTCAGTTGTTTTATACTTTATTCTCATTTGAGAACATGACATTACTTAATTAGATTGACCAATATTTACATGGCAGGTATCATCGATGAAGCAGAAGATGCTTACTCATACGGGACACATGGTCTTATTCTTCTTGTACTGTTTCAGAAGTCTCCGCGTGAGTCTATTTTTATTAATATTTTGCTGGTTTTATTGATTGAGAGTTCGTATTATGACTATATTCACATATTCATTCTTCTTGTCTTTAAACCATTATAATGCCATTTCTTGTCTTCTCCAATTTGAAGAGTTTATTATAGCGTCAATTATGACATTATATCAATCATGACGTTACTATTTAGTTGCGGCGTGATTGATATAATGCCGCATTACGTCGTAGGTAAGGGAGCGATGCATGCATACTCTAGAATTTTGTTGATGCATGTTTCTTTGTTCTTTTGTGCTTTTGTCATAAATTGAATTAACCTAAACTATCTATGGATATTAGTGACACAAACATTTATCGTTCACTTTATTATCCCCGTCAGTTTTGTAAAGAACTCATTGTACCAGGTGTTTAATAGGATTCAAGTCTATCGTGTCTAGGATACGTCGTTGGTGAAAAACGGCTTCGTCTAGAGAAGGTCAACACTATAGAAGAAGCAACCCGACCAGAAACGAAGAAACAGGTTCGGTCATTTCTTAGACTGGAGAGCTTTTATCGGATATGAATTCCGAATTTCTCAACCTTAGCCATACCATCGAGCGATTTAACCAAGAAAGGACTTCCGATCAATAAGGAGTGGAACTCCAGTCAGGAGAAAGCATTTGTGACACTGAAGAAGATGCCCAAGACAAGACTGGAGCAGACGCAGCAATCCTTTCCTTGTGACGCTCAAGGACGCCTAGGCGAGGTTGCCTGTGTGTCTTATGAAACCTTTTAAAATTCCTGCTGATTCTTTCATAACGAGTGAATGAATTTAAAAATGAAACTTAGAGGGAATACATGCATTCATCATGATACATCATGTTTCTCAGAAGGCCGCCGTAAGCACTTATTACTA